CCTCGGAATGATTGTGTTAAGCTAGCACTAAGTCCCTCCCCCATCCACCTTTATTCTTTTCTTTACAATAAGGCTTTCAAATAAGTCATGGCTGTACGGCAGTGAAGCATTGGTGTTGAGCACTGATGTCATGCTGTCGTTGATGATGATGATGATGATGATAGCCGGATCACGTACCTCGTTACCGTAACAGCACGGGTGGAACCAACCCGATTATTGGACGATACAAAGTCGCACGTTTAAGAGCAAAATGTTCTCTGAAGGACACCTGTCGAAGTTACCAAATGTTTCCGGAAACAGTGTAGCTCTATGAAACCAACTATTCCCGATAATAATGTAAACCTAACATAGCTTGAATACCTACCACTCAAGTCTTTGAAAACGTGGAAGGTTTTTGCCTGAATACTTTTAAAAATGAAGAAGTAAATGTCCCACGCAATGGCGTTTCATCATGACAAACAGCATGGTTCAAGTAAATTAACTTAAATGGGTGCTCAAAGCTGTAACCGTATAACCCCTGAAGGGTGATGCCATGCTCACGGTGTTTGCGGCGGGTGGCTTAACCTTAGGGCTCTCATTGCAAATTGAGTGCAAATCATACAACAACGGGTTTTTTATGTACGAACTATGTAAAAACTGCATCACAACCAGTGTTGGTTATCAGTACCATACCATGTGAGAGTGGAGTCTCGGCACAATAATCAATCTGGCTAACACTAAAAAATAAACGCCAAAAAAGCGTATCTGGTCCCAAAAACTAATGGTGCGAAAGATGGATGCCAATGTACAATAACGAAAGTTGGGAACATGCCGTGCAAGTGTTTTTGTCAAGTTAAGCGTCCGAAGTATTCTCGTGGAGAGCTCATTTTGCATTGAATCTCTCCAAAGGTGGAATTTGGCTTTCGGAAAACTTGCTCGGTGAATTTGCATCACACAGGCCGATGTAGTTCAAACTCCGAAATGAAGAATTAAGGTGCCTGTCGATCAGTAGATCCGAATCTTGTTGTAGGTCTAGGTCCCAAGGCAGCTGACTGCGCGTGTGCTTCAATAACGCTTTGATCGATCGAACAACAGGCGCCAAATAAATCAGCATCTTGCTTGTGAGGCGTTTCATGGTTGAATTCCAAACTATTTTGGTCGTTTCCATTGCCATTGATTGAAGACACACTGAACACATCTTCTTCATCTGTGTAAATGTTAACGAGATACAGTCATTGAATTAGTGGGTCACATATATCATCCCTGATACAAAACATAGTACTGCAGAACAAAATCTTGCCACTATCGGTGCCCGATTGGTATTGACTAATCTGTAAATGGCCATATCGAGTCGAATGTGATACGTTACCAGTCAGGAATATTGTTGATTTTGGCCAACCATGTAAACGGAGCGAAATAACAGTGCGTACGGCAAACGATGAACAAGGGACATAGTTCATGAGGGTATCTTGCAGAGCTCTGAACACTAGCGAGCTGAGAAAGACTAGGAAAACTGGTAGACTGTTGGCTGAGGGGAACAAACGGAGATGTGGGTGCATTTCACAGTGGATTCAGTAGTACATGAAGTCGATAGCACACGTGTCCGGTCCGCGCCTTCTCTGTGTTAAGATCTAATGGCTGGTTTTTGGTGAAGATAATAGGGGTAAACAGAATGGGGAAAAAGGGTGAACTGGAGAGATTAAGGTGAAAGTTCTGAGAGAAATTTCTGCCTGAACATGATACCGTAACCAAATGTGTCACAAATAATACGGCTATGGAGTTACTGTAACCATCTTTCAGTCGAGTTAGCTAAGGCCGAGTTAAACGTCTGTTGCCTCTACAGCTAGTCTCCTACATGACCGTTGGTTGGTTATATCTCGGGAAATGGTCGGTATCCGTATAGATGGTTCCAATTTGGTATTCGTCACTCGTGAGGTTTACGCTTGGACAGATGTCACAGGCACAAAAGGTGACAAAAAGCTGGATTGCATCTACTTCAGCTGTTCATGGAATTCATATCATGACAAGCTGATTCTCTCAGATCGCTTCGTAGTCTATTGATTTGCAAACTCCACCATCACTTAAAGCTTCTGCGACGTATTTAAAAACTGCCTCTGCTGTGGCCGTCCACATACATCACAGGTATTTGAAATACCGAATTATAAAGACGGGTTCTGACACCCGAAGATGGACCAGTGTGGACCAGACTACTCGGTATCAACTGTACTATTCCTACGGTGTCCCGTAATCAACTGGTGGATAATGGATCGAAACAGTGAGATACACCAGACTGATATGACACGTGCTATGGAGAGGCGGAGACAATAAAAACGGTGGGGGAGCACGGAACATCTATCATCATGGTTGAATAGACTACTGGCGCACCGTAGTTATTATTCAGATCACCGCTGTCGATAAAAAGGAAGTGTAGCTCATGTCGGGTGGTCTTGATGAGGGGTTTCTGTGTCTCAGTGAAAAACACTTGGCCATTACACAAATGACTACTTTAATTTTTAACTGTCGAGGTGGCGTGGAAATCTTACGTATGGTAAATTGTACAACTGTGGTGAATGGTGCTATTTTAGAGCATTGCGCTGAGTAGATTGTAGACTGAAAGGACGTCTCGTCTCTGGAAACTACTCAAGATTACTCTAGAACGCGCTCAATCTATTTTCGTCACACGATTTTGGAGAATTTGATGGTGGTTGAATCAAGATCGCACGTTAGCTCGTTGGAACGCCTGTCCTGATGCAGAAGACTTCAGATTACCTGCAAGGAACCATAACAGTCGACTGAGATCGTACAACTGGCAAGAACCTCACAGAAAAAAACAATAAACCAAGTACTAACGTACCAGTTCGTGTACTCTGCACCTTGCCCGGTGTACTCCCGCCAGCAGACGGAACCGTGAAGTGAGCATTTGTGTTGCTCTGCCAAGGACGAGATTGTGAGATAACTCGTATATCATTATCATGCTCATTGTTATCTCCGATGCCCTTGGTTCTTTCGTCCGGTATGGGTAATCTGTGATGCAAATGAAAACGGACATATGCAATTATATGTACACATGCGAAAGCACTTCTTGTGTTGAATACTCATGACAATGTCCTTTGTAATCGTGTTCTTTTTCAGATTAGTCTACAACGAATCTACGAGGAACGGCTCATTTCTTAGCTGTAGCACGGTTAAGGCGTAACAGGTGTGTAAAGATTCATATGTGCTGAATCTGTTACAAGTAGATTTCTGAACGGTGAACATGACCTTACCTCTGAGGATCTGATACCTCTGGTATATCATCTGAAGCATTCAAACGGTAAAGCACTGTGATTCAACAGTGGTATTCTCGTACACACCTTTTAGTGATATCCAATGATGCACATGTTCAAGTATACTTGCATACCATGGCCTGAAAACCCACCTCATCTGTTTTGTTTCATCCCATAAATCTTGCAGTGAAACTTCCATATGGGATACATACCAAATCGTGTAGAACAGTCATTTGGGTTATATGAAATATTTTGCATACCCAATGTCTGGGAGCAAAAACAAGGGAGAATTTTAACTCGGAGAATGTTAGAGGCAGGCACAGAAGATTCTGAAGATAAAGGAAAAGGTAGACGAATCTCTGCGGTCCCCAGTAGATAAAAAGTAGAGTGAAGGCCATCCGTAGACCTAAGTAGGTATTACCGAAATATCTGACAGCTCATGGGTTTAAAAGCAGACTCTAGATAAAACGATTTGTCATTTTAGGTCAATAGTGGTGACCTAGCATCTGTTAAATATATCTTGGAAATGGTTAATTTTATAGTGAGATCCAGAATAGTTCGCATAAATCTGGTTCACATGATATTCTTACTGTGCAAAAAATATGGCCCGGAAGCACACAGGATGGTATTTCAAAGAAGCCAATGTCACAAGTTATATATGCATATTTTTAAATACAGGGTTAAAGCATAAATGGTCCACCCTTCAGGTAGCATCTATTCGAAAATTATGGTCAACGACGCAACTAGGGTTCGAAAACACTGTTGAAAAGCGTACAGGCTAGTCGCATGGAAATGCAGTTTGAAGTTACAGCTCAGGAAGCCCATATTTGCTGTTGCTTTTTGGCAGTAGTTAGATTTCAGATACTGAGTCGCTCCCAAAATTTGTGGCGACCCTTCAGGTAACCATAACGTTGCCCGAGACGACTTTACTATGAATGTATCAGTGTTCCGTATGTCGCATCGAATGTTCCGCTAAATTTAAGTGCTAATTTGTCAGCTAGTCGGATCAGTCACAGTGCGGTGCAGCTCTTCTCACATCCGCTGCCTTACTTACCCGGCCACGCTACGGTAGTTACGAAGTCACTGGACGAATCTAAATGGCCCAATCATCTTTGCTAATTTGCAGCGCTTGTAGGGTCAAAAGTGTTGTGCATATGAATATATATATATATATATATTGTATAGTGTATGTGGGTGCGTATATGTTGTATGGCAGTGAGACACGGCCTACGCGGGCAGATGGCACTTTCAAGGTTTTAACCATCAGCTTCTCAGCAGCGTCGCTAGTGTTGATGGCGTCAACGAATTTGCAACAAGGTTATCAGAAAACATGTATCAGGTTGTGCAGCGTGTACTTCATCATCACCTTCAGCTTACTGTACAACGCTTACTCGTTGTACAGTGCTTATAGTTGCCACAGTTCTGTTGGCCAATGGTTTGGGGAGGTAGATGTAGATAATTACACATTGGAAGTTGTAGGTTCCCCTTCTTTCCTGATCTCATCAACGAAAGGTCCACTGATACTCACACATTCACCTACCAATTCAGTGGCAGAAAATATTCAGCACCATTAGCTCTGGTGACCTGATCATGCCTTACGCATGTAGAAGAATCATCTACCTAGGCGAATGCTGTTCTCTGTGCCCCATTCAGAATAATACAGGCTACGAGATGGACCACATGTAACTTGACAAAACGGTGTAAACGGGGGTTACAAAGAGTCTGGGTGCTGGTGTGGTCCACCTTCCATCTGCACTACCTGCGTCTGGTTGGAGACAATGCTGAGCGCTCTCATTAGCATTTCTGCAGCCAGGTTTTTCAGGTAGTTCGACTGAGTGTTTTGGGATGTAGGCACCGAAAAGGGCTTGCAATATGCTACCATCATATTTCTCCGTCATTCTTTCTCTTCTTTTGACCTTAAGGCTTTGAATAAAATTAAGTAAAAATTGTGGTTCTATGGCAGCGATGTCGACACACTTTCTTGGTACGCTTCAAGTGGCAATTATCCGTCACGTGATACAAATGGGAAAATTGAGCAGAGTTGAGTGTTCTCCTCATAAGGTAAGTGAATACGATTCTCAATAAAGTCAATTTTGACACTCCTCAGTCGATATTAGTTCAAAAATTGACAGGAAGACTTCAAACAGACTCAGTCAACTCTCGGGCGCAGTACAGTTATTATTCGTTGTGAGAAGTTGTTACAACATCAAAGTAAATCAGTCGAGTGCCTTTCTGGTTGTAATCACAATGAGTAAGAAAGCTTTGGGGCATCTATTCCATCACAGAGATCATGGAAAACAATAGACTTATCATGCAGGTGTATGGTGCATTTGTCTTCGTCTCCCAATCCGGTTATGGATGGAGCAACTGGTGATGACAAATTCGCAACGGAGATGTCATCATTGTTTAGTTGTTTTGTTTCCAAGGTATCTTGGTGTTTGTATGCCTTTCAGAGCTGAATTCTTAAGACAGCATGAACAGGCTTACTACTTCCGCCCTAATATTTGAGCCAAACGAAGCAGGGAAATCTTGATGAAAATCTTTTACGCACTGATAGGATTATTCACATCAAACCGGGTCGTTTTTCTTTTATGTATCATGGCCCATTGCATCACGTACAATTACAACTGATACACGCTGAAACGTAAGATTCGTACCACTGCACTTTGGCGTGCCTCTGAATTTCGACAGCTTGGGAGACTATCATCAGAGCTGTATGATAAGCTAGCTGCCAACTTAAGGAATAATTCCGATACGAAATGTCAGAAATTGCGTGCCAGTGAGCACATACATACTATCTCCATTGTCTCGATGTTCAGTGCTCATTTGGGTTCATTATCCTCTGGTTATCGAGTAATTTTCATTCTTGTCCCTTAAGCATAACTTCACATGCATTTACGTGTTTCCCGGCAAACTTTACCCTTCAATCCTACCGTGCGATCTCTAGAGTGGAGATGGGTGCCTAGTCCTAAACAACCACAACACAGATAGCAAGTTAGCACATTATAGTGTGCATGCACTAGGTTGAGTATCCTGGAGTCAGCATTCCTTCAGATGTGAGGACACAGTACAGTTTCATCTCTGAAAAGTGGGTCTTTGAAGGGTGAACGTTTAAAGAGACAACTGACCCGTTATGGACTTTTGCTCCATTGCGCATGATAGCTTATCCGCTATCAACATAACCCTTTCGAAGAAACTTAAGATCAACTCGTTCAGCACTTGAAGGAGTTTCTGTGATTCAGCAAGCTCTCCGTTAAACCTACTGCGATCGGAGGGGAAAAATCTCATGAAACATTTTTGTTAGAATAGATGTCTACATTTTGAAAGGTCACACGGAAAGTCGGAACGAGTTGGCCCCTCTAGAGCTGGCAGTCTCCAAAATAGACCTCACTCGAGAATAGTGTGATTGCAGAACCTAAAGCCTTCATGCGTGAAGCAGTCTTAACAAACTGAATGAGTTTTCACGCTTTAATGTGTCGCGGTAATAGTAATAGCGTTTTCTCGGGCAGACAATTGCAGGGAGAGATGAAGAAGTGGAAGGTGAACATTCCAAAAGAAAGATGCCTTAGGGAGCAAACGATCTGACCTGACCCATTTGGGGCTAGCTCTTGAGATTGATTAGTATGTGCATATGGTGGCAAATTACGAGTCACGACTATGGATGGAGTATTCGTGAGTGTGCTGTCGTTCTTTCTAAGCTACTTGTTTACACATTCCTTTAGCATGATCTGTATCCGGACAGTTCAAAAGGATCCGACAAGCAATCGACCGGATCCTTTTCAATAAACATTCTAACCTGAAGAACGTTAGGGAAAACAGACGCAATACAAGGTAAGAATGGTCCCGTTTGATGAATTAAAGAATAATTTCCATGGGTGTTGTATATTGCAACACAGACTAGCAAGCACCGACGTCCCGCTACTGTTTTCACTATGTTGGAATTTGGCCTACTCCCTGAATCTTAGTCAACTTTATCCGCAGCTGAATACCAAAAGCTACATATTCGCTCGACGCAAAATACTATTCATAAGGCTGTCAAACATTTTTCGAAAGCCTACGATCAGTTTTGAACCTTTTTTAACTCACCTGATTGGCACTTTCTCTGAGATTCTTTCAACCTTATGTTTTATTTTTTTAAAAATTGAACGCAGTCAGCGAAGCACATGTGCAAATTAGGTTGTTGTTAGCAGAAGACTAACCTGAATCTCTTATTCATGATAGTCTTCCATTGGATGTGCTGCACAAAGAACACTTCAGGTTTCGTTTGATACAATATTCGAGGTAACGCAGTGTATTTTGGGGACATTGAATACTGCACATAGGGTTACCGAAAACTCTGACAACCCTCTACTGGTTTCACCCGTCCTGGGGTTCATCAGATAGGCCTAGTCTCGACTAATGGTGTTACTATGCTGAGATATTCTGAAAATTGTGCCACCTAAAACACGAGGTTGCCTTTGTGCAGCATATCCAGTTAGAGAGTAGCATGAACGAAAGATTCATTTGAGTCCCTCGTTCGCACGTATAAAAGTTACAGATGGGTGTCTTTTGCCAATTAGCATATGTATTGAGTGCATCACTAAGTTATACACTGAGATTGTGTTCGGTAAAACGGAGGTACAAGGGAGATGTAATAAAATTGCACTTAATTTCATCAGTTGCAAGCGTGAAAGGGAGGAAAGTGTGGACTAATGGAATAATCACGACGCCAGTAGAGTTAGTTCCACGGTAGAAAGAACGTTTGGGTGGACACCCATGCTGGCTGTTTCGTCCTGATCCACTGAGAAAGTACGATAGTGAGATCCGTATGAATTTTTTCGTTTATGGTGTATTTTAAGACGTACATCAAAGGGGCCTCAGATGTACGTAACATAACAGCAGGAAAGAACTACGCGCTGCTCAATTTCCGCCAGTCTTATGCTTTACTAGAACCCAAATTATGGAAAGTTCGACGAATACACTCATTTTCATACTAATTTGTTTTTCATGGGAGACAGTCAGTGCCTCCGGTCCTGATGAGATCAGACGCTTGTACCTCAAGCTTACCACCTTGGCGCCGATTATTGACCCTAAAAGCTGAACGTAGCACAGACAGGCACGGTTTGATGAACTTTGCTTACTCCAATTGATGACCAATCGTGTCTTCAGGTGTAAGCTAGAATACGAACGGTTAGGTTGTTCTAGTCAGTGCTAGAGGCATGTCGCTTGATAAATGCTTGATCGTCGACTTATTGAGGCCCCTCTACTGGATGTGAGAATGTACCTGGAGAAATGGACTGTGCCTCCTCAAGCCTAAATACATTCAATTAGTTAAATTGAGGTGAGAATTTCTGGCGGAAAATAGCCCCACTAGTGAGAGACGATGAGGCGGATTTTGAAAACCTTTAGAAACAATAATTATTTGGGATGAAAGTTATAGTTGCGTAAGTATTACGGTACCACTTATAAATAAATAAGCATTAGCTTATTTTGGTCAGTCAGAAAATGTGCCATAGGTTACTAAGGACTAATAACGCACCTTGACATCCGAGTCCACTGGCGACATTCTAGTAAAAATTCTGTACCAGTATAGTTTTCAATGTCGTAACCTGGATTCTCCCAGTCGACGCATAAAGAATTGCGAATCATCACATAGTAATAATTTCATAAGTTACGTTCGTTCGTAGTGCAGTTAGCCAGGTCATTCCTTCAGCTACAAACCTTATAACAAAGTACAACCGTCCTAGTTGAGACACCTTTGTTCACCAAAGATAGTCAGAATACGAGAAGGAAGGTCACGTTTTGGAAGCAATGATCAAGCCATGGTTGGTGATTAGTCTAAACCTTGTGATTCGCAAATTAAGTCGGCATTAACAGGAGACTCAATCGAATCTAGTCTATAATTTTCTTTAGCTAGATGTACTGCACACAGGCTGCCTGGTTCGGTTGGGACGATGTTCACGATTTTCAAAGTACTTTTCCTGCTATGACACTACTTAGAAAGCTGAACGTCAAATTGGATGTATCCGCACATAAACACCCATAAGTAAATTAAGATGGTAGTGACTGAATCTCTCCTCCGTACTACTCTCATAATTAGTGTCCTATCAGTAAAATTACTTCGATATTTTGAATCTACTCCTAATTAAAACATGAGACCGCATTTGTGCAGCACGCTCAATTAAGGAATACTACCAATTAGATATCTCGTTAATACCGGATTAACTTGCACATGAGTGCTTATCTGCAGGCACGAAAGATCAGCGAAAATTCAGGAACTGAGCCTTTTCGATGAGCCACAAAAGGACGAGGGGACAGTGAGTTTCATCAACCTTAGAGATATTACTGCATCATAAAGTCGGTTAGTTCACTCTTTTCGTTGAAAATCAATTTTTTTCAACAGATAGTCACATCAGTCGCTTAATATTTTTAAGCAGCTACTCTGATGACATAACACAAAATTGTCGCTACTTCGATGTGCACCAAGCTTAATGTAATGTTCCATCAGCGTACGAAGTTTACCCTAAACAGATTATGACCCAACCGAATACTCTCATTTACAGACAAACTTGGTTTTGAGGGGAGAGTGAATTGAATCCAAGCTGAATCTCCTGTTTTTTATTATGGTCTCTTCTTCAGCTGCATTTGCTGCACCAAACCGTCTCGTATTTCACTTGGTATGATTCCCAGTGTTGCAATGCACTGTCTAGACGTAAAGCATTACGAAGATGGTTACTGAAAACTCTTCGACAGCTCACTACTGATTTGCCCACGCGACTATGGGCTCATCCGGTTGGTACAGTCCTAGAGTTTCCGTCAGTTTCATGTCCTACTTGAACCCAGGTTGGACGTAATACGTCAGATACTCTCATCCGCACACGAAGTTTGTTTTAACAGGGGACTTAGCTGAATCCAGCCGAATATCTTTCTTTATGGTGGTTTTCCTCAAAAAGAGATTCTATTGGATTTGGTTGAGTGTCCTTTCAAAACCAAGTTCGTATGCGGATAAAAGTTTCCGGCAAAAATAGCATAATTTTCAAGCCCTCATTCTTTTGTGAGCAAACTTACTTTCTTTCCACTCTACCGACTGGATTTTGAAGGTCCTCCTTGCTTGAATTCCAATTATCATTGCTGGTGTCAGTAATGTTTTTTCCATCCGAACGTCCCGGACCAAAAGTGACGACACGTCTATCATGACTAAAATAAGTTGCTAGACTTGTACGGGGTGAAAATGTGCTTGTAGAACCCCCAGAGTGATGATGTGACGCTGAATGTTGAGCAGTGGCCGCGAATCGAGAATGTCTACTGCTCCGCCCGGGGCGGTCAGAGGAACCTCGTGAACTAAGTGACTGATGGTCAGCTCTTGTATCAGAGCTTGTATCAATCTGTGGATCATAACGTCGCGTTTGAGGACTGTATAGGAAGGAAATAAATCGTTTAATAAAAACTTGTGTAAAAAAGAGGGTGCAATGAGCGGCTTTTAAAATTGGTTGTCTCGTTATGTTGAAATCTGATGAAAACAAATTATCATAAGTCGAAATGTTCTGTTAGACTTTTGTGGATAAAGGATATAGCAGACTCATATGAAGAAGTTAACCATGTAAGCACAACTGTGCCGCGTCGAAAGAAGTTCTAAAGATCGCCCCGTAGAACTCAGTATTCTAAATTGCTCAGTAACGTTACAGCAGCAAGGTAAAATTGAGTGAGCCTGGCTTTGTTAACAGTGATCGCATTTCAGTATAGCATGGATTCGCACTTTCCTGAAGACATGTTAATAATATCGATCGATTTTACTGACAGTCTGTGCAAGATCTTTCGGATAAGATAGATAGATCAAACCCCCAAGACCGAAGTCGTTTTGGAGATGGTGTCAGGTCAGCTCCACCAGTCAAGTCATTTAAAACGCATGGTTGAAACTCTCCCCCCCCCCCCAAAAAAAAAAAATTGTATGTTACCAGCTGAAGAGTGTTGTTAGAAATAGAAAACGGCAAAAATTTCACCACCAGAACAGCTTCTAAGCTGAACATACACCCATTTGCAAACTAATTTGGTTTCTCAAGAGACTCACCTGGAACCCAGCTGAATCTCTCGTTTGTGATGTT